CAGGGAAACCGGCAGGCCGGACTTGAGTCCTGGAGATGGGAAGTACAGTGCCTGCACTCTGAAGGAGGGGTGTTAATGTTGCAGTTTAAAAACTGTAGTGTAAAGCACCCTTCTGGCAAGACAGTGATGGAGCGAATGATGGTGAAAGTTTTTCTTTTTCGGGCCACCCTGCCTTGGTGGGAATCGGCCAATGTGTTAATAAAAAAAAGCCCATTATCTGTCTTAGTGCTGGTGGAAATGACATCAGGAAGGGAAGGAGACAGGAGCTGCTGGATAACTACAGGTCAGTCATAGAAGTTGTCAGGTCTAAGGAAGGGATCCCAATCATATGTAGCACCTTGCCTAGAAAAGGAGTGGGCTAGACAGGTACTGCAAGGAACTTGTAATCCCATTCATTGATAACTGGGACAAATTCTATGGCAAGCATATGTATGCCAGGGATGGGGGTTCATCTCTCTAGGGTTGCAGTGGTTGTATTAGCCAATTCGATTGAGGGGGACATGATGACTTGTCTAGGAATTTAAACTGATAGATTATAGAGGTATGGGTGTTCGTGGGAAACAATTAGGCTGCAGCATTAAGGTTGAAAACAGCAGATATTACCAGGATGCCCCAGGGATATGTTTAAAAGACAATATTCAAAATAAAGTTGCTAGTAAAGGCAGTGCAATTGTTCAGCAGAAAAAGAGAGAGAGTAGAGGGCAACGAGTCATTAGCTCCCTTAAGGTTGACTATACAAATATTAGTAGGAGTCTACGAAATAAGATAGATGAACTAAGATTACTTCCAAGCGCAGGTAATGTAGATATTATTGCTATAACAGAGACCTGGTTCAACTTGAAAGATAGAGAAATGCCTTCTGAATGCAACATACAGGGTTATAAACTATTCCACACTGATAGCTTCAACAGGAAGGGTGATGCAGTGGCGATGTATATCAAGGATAATATCAATTGTTGTGTTAGAGAAGATGTAAGATTAGAAACATCAGACACAGAATCTGTTTGGCTACAGTTTCTCGGAGGTCATGAAAAATTAATTTTGGGTGTGATTTATAGGCCCCCTAACGTTGATAGGGAGTGCGGTAGGCTGCTATTGGAGGAAATTCATAAGGCATCTAGATATAAAAATGTTGTGTTAATGGGAGATTTTAACTTTAGATAAATTGATTGGAACAATGTGACAAGAAATCTTGAGTCTAGTGACTTTCTTGACACGGGTCAAGACTGCTTTTTAGAACAGTTTGTGACAGAACCAACTAGAGGAAACAATCTGCTTGACTTGGTTCTTGCCAACAAAGAATCACTAATTAATAAACTTGAGGTTAATGATGAGCTAGGGGAAAGTGATCACAAATCACTTAGTTTCAATATATGGAGTAACCCAGATAATTGCAATCAAGTCGCTGTCCCAGATTTCAGCTTGGCCCACTTCATGGGTATGAGAAATTACCTGAGTGGGCTAAATTAGGAAGACCTTACTATGCGTCAGGTAGGTAGGGTTGGCTGCCAATATGACGTATTTCAGAGCATAGTGCTGGCTGCCCAGGGGACTTTTGTCCCGAGTTGGGAAATTAGATCTAACAAAAATGATCCCAAATGGATAAACAATAAATTAAAACATCTCATTGGTCGAAAGAGTGGCATATATAGGCGTATCAAAAGAGGGGAAGAATAGTTAAGAAATCAATATATTCAATTAAAGAGAGAAATAAAAAAAAGGAATAAGAAAAGCTAAAAGGGATTATGAGGCTAAAGTCTCAAGGGATTCAAAGACTAACCAAAAACGTTTTTTTCAGGTATACAGAAGTACGATTAGGGACAAGATAGGCCCACTTAAGAGTAACTCAGGTCAGATTACTGACAGTGATAAGGAAATGTGTGAACTTTTCAATACCTACTTCCTCTCAGTTTTTACTCAGGAAGATACTAGCGATATTCCAGAAATAATAAATTATGTAGAACAGGACGATAAATTATGTACAATTAGGGTAACTAGTGACATGGTCCTCAGACAAAGAGAGAAATTAAAACCTAACAAATCCCCAGGCCCTGATGAATTGTTTGCAAGGGTTTTAAAGAAATGTAAAGAGGAACATAGCATACCTTTGGCTAATCTTTTCATTACATCACTACAAACTGGCATAGTGCCAGACAAGTGGAAAATGGCAAATGTAATACCTGTTTACAAGGGGGGTGACAGGTCCTCAGCTTCGAACTATAGACCAGTAGTTGGTAAATTTATGGAATCAATAATTGCCGAAGCCATTCGTAGCCATCTTGAAAGATATAAATTGATTAATGAATCTCAACACGGTTTTACAAAGGGGCGTTCCTGTCTTACGAATTTACTAAGTTTCTTCACTAAGGTGTTTGAGGAGGTAGTTTATGGTATTGAATATGATATTGTGTACATGGACTTCAGTAAGGCTTTCGATAAAGTTCCACATCAAAGGCTGTTGAGAAAACTTGAGGCACATGGAATAGGAGGAGAATTCTTTTTCCTGGGCAGAGGCATGGTTGACAAATAGGCAGCAGAGAATTTGCATAAATGGGGAGAAATCAGAATGGGGGCAGGTCACAAGCAGTGTTCTACAGGGGTCAGTGTTGGGCCCCTTGTTTATAATCTACATAAACGACATAGATGAGGGAATAAATAGCGACATAGCAAATTTGCTGATGACACTAAAATAGGCCGTCCAATTCATTCTAATGAGGACATTAGAGCACTCCAGGATGATTTGTAAAGACTGATGCAGTGGTCGGAGAAGTGGCAGATGCAGTTTAATATTGACAAATGCAAAGTTCTAAATGTTGGACAGGAAAATAACCATGCCACATATAAGCTAAATAATATAGATTTTAATATTACGGATTGCGAGAAAGATTTAGGAGTTCTGGTTAGCAGTAATCTGAAACCAAGACAACAGTGCGTAAGTGTTTGCAATAAAACTAACAGAATCCTTGGCTTCATATCAAGAAGTATAAATAATAAAAGTCCTCAGGGTGTTCTTCAACTCTATACATCCTTGGTTAGGCCTCATTTAGATTATGATGCGCAGTTTTGGTCACCGTATTACAGAATGGATATAAATGCTCTGGAAAACGTACAAAGTAGGATGACAAAGTTGATTCCATGTATCAGAAATCTTTCCTATGAGGATAGACTGAGGGTCCTGAATCTGCACTCTCTAGAAAGGCTTAGAATTAGGGAGGATATGATTAAGATATATAAATGGAAAACAGGAATTAATAAATGGGATGTAAATAGCGTGCTCAAAATATCTAACATAGACAGGACTCGCAGCAATGGATTTAAATTGGAAAAATTCAGATTCAGGAAGGATATAGGGAATCACTAGTTTGGTAATAGAGTTACTGATGAGTGGAGCAAACTCCCGAGTACCGTCATAGAAGCTTCCACGTTGTGTAGTTTTAAAAATAGGTTGGATAAATAATGAGTGGGTGTGGGTGGGTGTGATTTGGACCTGGCTAGCTTGTGCTACTAGGTCGGATACCATGCTCCTCCCTTATGCCGGTGGGAGAATTGGACCTGCCTCGCATAGGCCAGTAGGCCTGTTGCAGTGTTCCTTCTTTCTTATGTTCTTCTTATGTTCTCATGAGGCGAGCTAAAACATCACGGGTTCGATCCCCCGGCTAGTTGCAGTGTTATTGATTAAATACCACTCGTTCGTGGTTACAGTATGATATATACTGCTTGTTGAGGCTAGTACACCAAACGGGGAGTAGAATGAAATTAGCTCTGAGGCACCCACACCATTGTATGTCGCCGGATCACGATACAACACCTAGCTCTGCTGGGTGTGTGATTCTTGTAGGATTGTATGGTCCCGTGGGTTAGCGCGTCGTGGAATTTTCGCTCAAAATGAGGCTAGCTAAAACAGCACGGGTTCGATCCCCTGGCTAGCCGCAATAGGTAAAACTTGCGACTTTTGCTTGAATATCAAAGCTCTTCTTGCTGGATAAGACAAGCGAAAATTTGTGTATGCAATAATTTCGATAAAATCCTTATGAACTTTACGAAACAAAAATATATTTCTTTGTGTTTGTTTATTATTAAATTATTGTAAATTTACCTAAAATATATTTAGTTGGATTAGGGTAAATTAAATTGCGATTGTTATAATAAGATTTGGTAAGTTTTCTAAGTTTCTTTTTGTACAAAATTATTAATTTTTACTTTAACGTATATGAAAAAAATGTCTTTAAAGGTATAAGAGAAAATTTTATAAAGGATTTAATTTTCCAGATTACACCCTTTACCAGGAATAGTTTAGTTTCAAGCAGTGAATGCAGTTCACTGCTTGAAACAACTATTTAACAATTAAACTATTTAGCATCAGCTTAATTTCAGTCATTTAGTATTTTTACTAAGACAGGATGAACTGAAAATGGATTAAAAAGCACATTCATGGTACACTTATTCAGGAATATGGTTTGATTATGTATGCCCTTGGAAAATTACTTAATATCTCAATGTAATCTCAATATCAACACAGTATAAATCTCCATTCGGGGTAAATCACAAGTCTCCACTAACACGTAGGAAAAAAATTATAATAAATTAGGAGTGGCCTACAATATTTGAACTCTGTGGCACTTCCCTGTCTGTCACTTACTAATATATAATAAGTAATCACACTTAAGATTATCAATAAACCGTACAGTGTTAAATATACAAGAAAAGTCAACAGTAGGCTAATAGCTAAATAATTGTAGACATGTATAAGTAATACAAGTGACAAAGCATCACCTTCCTACTCATATATATGTATGACTTACGAGAAATATCCAAGTATTTGACACAGAATAAAGTTAAATTCACACAAGATTTACTGGAGTAAAGTCTGGTGAATATTTCGGAGAATAATTATCTAAAATATATGTGATTGCCAGAAATAGAGTTCGTCAGTAACCAACATTTTCAAGTGTTTACGAACTATATATTCGAATATTAGAAAAAAAAAAATAGGTACCTACCTTGACGCTCTGAGAATCCGGGTTGATCAGCAATGTCGGCGTTTATGTCCGACCAGAAGTTAAAAACAAGGGTCGAGAGAGGTGTAATTAATATGTTTGTATGTAGTGGCTGTGAGAAGATGACTGAGCGGCGTGAGTGTTCACCACGGAAGCGCTGAGCCAACTGAGTGAGGAGCATTTGATACTAGGTTTTGTTTTTTGCTTTATCTAGAAAATAATCAATATAGGCAAATATAAAGCCATTTTACTGCAAACGGGATCTTTACTTACAACTGTAGCTACTTACCATGTGATATCAGCATCAGGAAACAGGAAAAGTGTTTCCTGACGCAGGTCTTCGTTATATGATGACCCACAGCTGGAGCTTTTGGTTATCTGACCGAAGCCGTCCGCTGGCTTACCGGTCCACCTCTTTATAAATTAGTGTCTGTTATACTAAACTTTTTGCAGCACTTTTCGTTACTAACAAGATGACTCCAATTTCTTAACACAATTTCCATGGAATCTGTTGAGAATCATTTTGGTTTTTATACTTGTTACATGAGAAAAAATGATCTCAAAAAAAGTATTTATCAGTACCTATATACCTCATTAAGTTGCTCTCTTTTCTCACATTATCTGTTTATAACTTCTTCGATCACTAGTCATCAATAAATAACAAAAAGGCACAATACCGTGACTGGAACGATACACAAATAACCCGCACATAAAAGAGAGAAGCTTACAACGACGTTTCGGTCCGACTTGGACAATTGACAGTCACACTAACCAGAAGTGGTCCAAGTCGGACCGAAACGTCGTCGTAAGCTTCTCTTTTATGTGCGGGTTATTTGTGTACTAGTCATCAATACATACTGTATTCTCCTCTTTGTACGTTGCAAATTTTATGTATTGCAGAATTTATTTCTTCAGTGAATTGTATACTGTCTGCTCTATTTTTGAAAATTTTGTCTTTTGTAGGTATCTTTTGTTGAATACTCTAGGTATTGTTGTCTTGATTAGTTAAATATCTTTAGTGCTGTGATATCGGTTTGTTCCACAGCTCGTGTGCTGTTTCCTAGGTTTGTTGCACACCAGGTAGCTTGCAGCTTTTGTTTGTTGCACACCAGGTATACCTACCTGGAGTATACCTGGAGAGGTTTTCGGGGGTCAATGCCCCCGCGGCTCGATCTAAAACCAGACCTCGTGGTGCATCAGGGTCTGATCAACTAGGCTCATACTGCTGGCCACACAAACTGACGTACGAACTACAACCCAGCTGTTCAGGTACTGATTTTAGGTGCCTGTCCAGTGCCTTCTTGAAGACTGACAGGGGTCTATTTGTAATCCCTCTTATATATGCTGGGAGGCAGTTGAACAGTTTTGGACCCCTGAAACTTATTGTGTTGTCTCAGTGTACTCGTGGCTTCCCTGCTTTTCATTGCGGGAATGTTGCATCTCCTGCCAGATCTTTTGCTTTCATAGTGATTTTCGTGTGCAAGTTTGGTACTAATCCCTCTAGCAGTTTCCAAGCGTATATTATCATGTACCTCTCTTGCCTCCGTTCCAGGGAATACAAATCAAGGGACTTCAACCGTTCCCAATAATTTAGATGCCTTTTCGTACTTATGTGTGCCGTGAAAGTTATTTGTATACTCTTCAGGTCGGTAATTTCGCCTGCCTTGAAGGGGGCCGTTAGTGTACAGCAGTATTCCAGCCTAGAAAGAACAAGCGATTTGAAGAGAATCATCATGGGCTTGGCATACCTAGTTTTGAAGGTTCTCATTATGCATCCTATCATTTTCCTAGCAGATGCGGTAGATACACTGTTATGGTCTTTAAAGGCGAGATCCTCTGACATTATCACTCCCAGGTCCTTCATATTACTTTTTCGCTGTATTGTATGGTTAGAATTTGTCGTATACCCTGATAGTTTTAATTTCCTCAAGTTTTCCATATCTGAGTAGTTGAAATTTCTCTTTATTGAACTTCATATTGTTTTAAGTAACGCATTTGAAGATTTAGTTGATGTCCGCTTGGAGCCTTGCGGTGTCTTCGATGGAGGTCACTTATGGCAATTCGGGTGTCATCCGCAAAGGAAGACATGGAGTTACGGCTTACATATCTGTCTTTTTTAGATATGAGAATGAGGAATATGGGAGCGAGTACTGTGCCTTGTGCAACAGAGGCTGCCGTAGCTGCCTGAGACTTTACTCTGTTCACTATTACTCTTTGTGTTCTATTTGTCAGGAAGTTATAGATCCATCTACCAACTTTTCCTGTTATTCCTTTATCACGCATTTTGTGCGCTATTACACCATGGTCACACTTGTCGAATGCTTTTGTAAAGTCTGTGTATATTATATCTGTATTTTGTTTATCTTCTACATCATCCAGGACCTTGTCATAGTGGTCCAGCAGCTGGGAGAGGCAAGAGCGACCTGCTCTAAACCCGTGATGCTCTGGGTTGTGTAACTGATGGGTATCTAGGTGGTTGGCGATCTTGCTTCCCTTTCAAAGATTTTTATGATATGTGAAGTTAGTGCTATCGGTCTGTAGTTCTTTGCAATTGTTTTATTGCCACTTTTGTAGAGTGAGGCTATGTCTGTTGTTTTTAGTGAGCGTGGGATGACCCCTGTGTCCATGCCCCATCTCTTTAGAATGCTGAAGGCACGTGACAGGGGCTTCTTGCAGTTCTTGACGAACACGGAGTTCATGAGTCTGGGCCTGGGGCAGAGTGCATGGCCATGTCATTTATTACCTTTTCAAAATCTTGTGATGTTAGGATAATATCCGAGATTTTTGAGATGACCAAATTTTGGGTCTCGCTCATAAAGAATTCATTTGGATTGTCGACTCTTAGTCCGGGCAGCGGCTCGCTGAACACTGAGTCATATTGGGACTTCAGTATCTCACTCATTTCTTGGCTGTCATCTGTGTATGTCCCATCTCGCCTAAGCCGGGGTCCATTACTGGATATTGTTTTTCCCTTAGATTTAGCATAAGAGAAGAAGTATTTTGTTTTTGTTTTTTCATTTCCTTCATGGCTTTTACTTCCTGCGGTAGTTTGCAGCTTTTGTTTGTTGCACACCAGGTAACTTGCAGCTTTGGTTTGTTGCGTAGCTCGTGTAATATAGCCTTGAATTGTGCACAGCTTGTGTGTTGTGGCCCTGACTTGCGGTAAAGCTGTAGGTTGAATTTGTTAGACATTTGGTTTAGTATATTGTGTGAAAGAAAATTACTTATAGTAGAACAAGCTTTAATTCATCCAGTTCTCTTTCTGTGTAGAGCTTCACCAAGACTTGAAAAAGACCTACGCTCAGAATAACGTCTTCCAAAGAAACCTTGTCTGCAATATTTACTTCGCTATTGTCAACGCTGTGCTATTTGGATCCACCAATTGTTAGGTTATAAGGCAGTGTAACGTAGGAGTTGAACTGAGACACTTATGCAACATATGGGAATCGTTATTAAAGAAACGTTTCGCCACACAGTGGCTTTATCAGTCCAATACTAAAGCAGAAATGGGTGAGAAGAGGAGTAGTTTGAGGTAATCAGTCCCTCAGTCTGGAATCGATGTGTTCAGTCCAACACTCTTGTAGGATAGATGGACTGAACACATCGATTCCAGGCTGAGGGACTGATTACTTCAAAATCCTCCTCTCCTTATCCATTTCTGCTTTGTATTGGACTGATGAAGCCACTTTGTGGCGAAACATACTCAATAACCCACAGAGACAGAAACTCAGAAGATGTATTTGTCTGTATATTTCGATCCTCTACTGGGGTCCTCTTCAGTTGAAGAGGACCATAGTAGAGGATCGAAATATACAAACAAATTCATCTTCTGTGTCTCTGTTTCCATGTGGGTTATTACTAAGAATTGGTTATCTGCGGCTCTTAAATTTAAATTTCACCTGGATGGTACAACGAACCTTTTGTTTTTGCCTGAATGAGGAATAACTCTTTATCTATCTCCTGAAACGTGTATCAGACCCTTACTGTTTCCCTAGATGGTGTTTGAAGTCATTCTTGCTTGTATGGTGTAATGAACGCCTTACTGTATATTTTTACGGTGAAATGAGTCGGTGTTTTTCGTTCTTATAATATAACAAACTCTTACTTTTCACCTGTATGGTATATTAAGACCTTACTTTTTCCTTGAATAGTGTATTAAAGCATTATTTTTTACTATGTATTGTGTATTGAACACTTTACTTTTCGTCTGTATGGTGAAGTATTTGGATTGTGTATAGATGTCTCGTTATGAGACGGAATAATATATTATAAGGCTTGGCTTCGTGAGATGATGGTGAGTACAGAGAGTTCCAGTATTTACCATCCCATTAGTAACCTGTGCTGAGTTCCGACAAACAATAAACACTTACATGATCTTTACGTCATTATATCTTGTATGACGTCTGTACTTGCTAACAAGTACATCTTGTGTAGGGGTGTAAATTTGAAGTGCATATGTGGGGAGAAGTGAGGGTGTATGTTTGGGTGTGAGGGGTGAGGGAATGTTTGGGTGTATGGGAGATGTAAGTTAGGGATTGGGGTAAAGGTTTAGGGGTAAAATTTTGGGTGTCTGTGCGTGGATGGGGTATAAGTGTGTGTGTACATCACCCAGTTGTGATTTCAGGGGTCGATTCACAGCTCCTGGCCCTGCTGCTTAGCTGATATCTACTAGGTCCACTCTCTCCTGCTCCATGAGCTTTATCATATTCTTCTTAAAGCTATGTATGGATCCTGCCTTCACTGCATCACTCTCCAGACTGTTCCACTTCCTGACAACTTTATGACTGAAGAAATACTTCCTAACATCCCTGTGACTCATCTGAGTCAACTTCCAATTGTGACCTCTTGTTGCTGTATCCCATCTCTGAAATATCCTGTCCCTATTCATCCTGTCAAATCCTCTCAGTATTTTTTTTATTATCATGTCCCCCTTATCCCTTCTGTCCTTCGACTGTCGTCAGATTAATTTCCCTTAACCTCTCCTCCTTGGCCATGCCCCTTATCTCCTGGACTAATCTTGCTGCTAATCTTTGCACTTTCTTTAATTTCTTGACGTTCTTGACCAGGTGTGGGTTCCAGACTGGTGGTGCATACTTCAGTATGGGCCTGAATTACACGGTGTATAGAGTCATGAATTTTTAATTCTTTTCATTTAAGAATATAAGAAAGAAGGAACACTGCAGCAGGCCTACTGGCCCATGCAAGACAGGTCCAATCCTCCTACCGGCTTAAGTCAGTGCCTTAACCTAGTCAGGTCAGGTCACGTTCACT